CAGAGAAATAAAACCCAAGACAGACAAGGGATGCAAATCAAAAAAACAATTGCTTCCCCCCAGCGGACGGAGGCCCAGTCAGCCCCCGAGCAGCAGTCCCCCAGCCAGTTTTCCCCTAGCTTATACACTGAGCATGACATCACATGGTATGCAATATCCCGTTGGCCACTTTGGGTCAGCTGTCCCGGCTGTGCCCCCTCCCAGCTTCCTGTGTATCTCCAGCCTTCTCAGTCGGTAGAACATGAGAAGCTGAAAAGGCCTTGACTCTGTGTAAGCACTTCTCAGCAATAACGAAAACATCTCTACATTATCAACACTGTTTTCAGCACAAATCCAAAATATAGCCCCATACTAGCTACTACGAACAAAATTAACTCTATCCCACCTAAAACCAGCACACACCCTCAATTTTGCAACATGGAGCGTGAATTCCTTTAACGCAATTATAACAACACCAGAAATGAGGACCCTATGTTATCCCAAGAAAAGAGAGAAGACTGGAACGTGGCTGGCTCATACAACCCTCTTTCAGTAATACTACATCTGTTTCTGCACCAGCTCACAAGTTTTGGATCTTACCTCTCATCACACACTGCCACTGTCTCTACCACACTCAGTTCTACAGAAAGACTATCTGTAGCCCAGTGATTTTACTCTTCTGTTATATACCAAGGATGGGCACCAGACTCTCCAGACATAATATCCTCTTCTCACGGATGAAGTAATAAAGCTTTAACATGATCACTTTAGTAAGCCTATAAATGCAAAACTAGTTAAATGATACCTCAGCTCAGTGACATTTTAAAGCTGTGTATAAACACTGACGGTATTTCACTTACTTCGTTGGTAAAAAGAAGGTAGAAAGACAGAAGAAATGTCACAAGTCCCATCAACATGCCTCCAGAAGTCTCGCTGAGCCTCTCCAGGAACCCTGGTTTGGACTCACTTGTGATTTTAACATGTTCTTTTCTGCTGCCTGTGTCAGAGAACTGTTGGAGATAAACCAAAAAATGCAATATTGGTGTGACGGGAAGGCATTCTGTTTCAAAATAAGTCTTTTCGCTTTGTTAATACTGCTGCTCTACAGAGTAGCACCTTGGACCAAAACTTTCCCACACATACTCATCACACTTTTGATACCAGAAATACAGTCAATAAATAAAACTCAAGCCTAATGGAAAAAACAATCGCTTTTATAGTGTTCAATACGTTCCTTCAAGCTTTCCTCAGTCTGTCACTAGGTTCCCTGTTTGGTGTCCACACCCCACATTCGGGCCATGACAAATTGAGCAATACTGCTGAATTCCAGACCAGCTAAAACATAGCTATAAATAACAAGTTACATTTTACCTCACCAGTGGTAAGTGCCTGAAGACTTTAAAGTAATTGCGTCTAGAGCAACAAAAAGAGATAGCTTAAAACCAAATTGCTATCGCTGTCCTAGCCAGAGCCACATTAAAGCATGAAAGCCCAGCGGTTTATCTGTACCTACGCTGGCTTTGGGGAATACCCAAAAAGTAACTTCAGATTAGCACACGTAACCAAGACAGGAGGTGAAGCTTCCCTTTTGCCCATCTGGTGGGGCAAAGCGGGGTGTGACAGCGGCCCCTCCGCTGCACCAGGGCTGCACAGGGCCCCTCGCCTCAGACAGGCCACCCGGGGGAGCGGCCGGAGCGGGAACGGGCCGACCCAGGGGACCGCCCCACGCAGCGCGGAGTAACGGCAGGACCGGTCCGAGCAGCACTTACATTCCTCGACATCTTGAGCCTCTTGCCCTCGCCGGG